TAAAACATTGATGGTATCATATAGGGTTTGTCCATATAAAAAATGGGAAAGAAAAAGGTTTTAGTAAGCAAGCATGGAAGAATTATAAGATAATTAGTTAGAAGGTCCTGTGTTCAAGTTACCATAACTTTAGATGAAGTGAGGCAGGCTAATCCGCAGACCCACTCGTACAGGATGACAAGACCCTTATATAAGATATTTGCTTAGGTGAGATCTGCAATGTTACATACCTCACGGCAGAGTGTTTGATTCAACATATTGGACACTATACAATGTGCAGAAGTTGGGTCGAAGAGTAATATGTATATAGTATGAACTCTTATATCTCCTTTCCCTCTTTATTCTTCGTTTTCTATTTTTTGTAGATATGAAGTAGTATGATTGACTGACACGAAGCTGGTTTAATGTTTATGATCTCTCACTTCCATTTTCATTGATGTTGAACTATATTTCTCCATTATTTTATTGATGGATTGGCTTTCTCTTGATTGAAGGAAAACGGGTATCAGCTACTCTTTCTCAGTGCACGAGCAATTGTTCAAGCTTATCTGACCAAAAGTTTTCTGTTCAATCTCAAACAGGTAATCATAATCCCGTTTACATGAAATACCGATGACACTAGTTTTTAGTTTCCTAAAAGAGGCAGAATATTTATTTGAATCCCAAGGGAGCATGTTAGTTGGATTTTCTGTTACATGTAGGACCATTTCTCGATTCGTATGTTTCCGAAGGGACTCTGTCATATGTATGGCTGTAAATTGTTTGGTTTAAACCAAGAGAGTTGACCAAGGCAAAAATCTTGGTCTGTTTGGTACTGCTTTCTTGTGTGTTTTTTTTAAAAAAAAATTAGGTTTGTTTTCTGTTTGTTTTGATTCTCTGTGCAGGGATTTCTGTTTTCCAATGCAGTCTCCTTTTTCTTTCCTTTTTAATTTAGAAAAAGAGAAAACTGAAAACTGAAATTAGGGGTATACATAGTTTATTAAGGTATCGGTTTTCTTCACTTCTCCCCTCACTCCACCTCTGTCTCTCTCACTTCTTCTCCACACTTCAAGGCGAGACTAGAACATGATCAAATGAACACCCTAGAAATGTCAGTAGAACCTTGGTAATCTGAGATCTAAACACCGATGTCTGTGCGAATCATATACAAAATCTTTTCTTTTTCCAGTCTTAGCAAACATACTACCTCAGAAGGGCTTCAAGAAGCTTTTTCCAAAGTTGGTGAGGTGGTACACACCGTAGGCTTTTTATGCGTGGCTATGCATGAAACTTCAAAACACTGATTTTTTCTTTTAATTGACAGTTGCTATATCAATCAGCATCTATCAACTACTCATCTATCTCAAACTATACGTTGACCGTTAACTACCCCAATCCTCCTCCTTATCAGGCAGCTTGGGACCTACTATGCGTAGCTTGAGTTTTAAGGTTGCTATATCAATTAAAAAGAAAAATAGAAGAGACAACATCAACACATCTCCCTTAGCTGTTTTGGTGAAGCACAGCTGCTCATTTTTGTGTATTTCTATAATCTTGGAAAATTTAGCAACTTGAAGGTGCAACCGAAAATCTAGAAAACTATCAAAAAAACCAGCCTTGTTATCAACTTGCCTTCCTCACTATTCAAATCTAGTTTTTATCCTTATTTAAGTTGTTCTCAGATTTGAAGTTCTGGCTTTATTTCCTGCTTGGGTATAACATGCTGCTGCAAGTGAATTAGCAAAGAAAGAGAGGCTCTAATAGATCTGTTGATTGGTTTGCCAATCTACTAACAGAAAATCAAATAATATGAACAGAATTTACTCAAAACTCACCAACTGATCGACTACTGCCATATTTACACGTTTTGAGTACTTGTGGTGTTGGAATTGAGATTTAGCTTTTACTAGCCTTTCTTTTCATTTTTATTCTCCATGTTTTCCTCCCGTACTTTGTTCTCAGACCTTACATATGTTTTTTCTTTCTTTTATGGAGAAAGGAGTTTCTGAGGATGCATTTTGTCTAACACTATTATGGCTCAACTGTATAGACCACCTTAGGAAATCTTGGATCTGGCCTCTGTTTGCTTGTCCTTTCTTGTAGAATTCTGATTGTGCAATAGATTTCACTGACCAGAAATGTGTAAATGATCTGTAGGATGGGAAATCATTACCACCTGGACCTGTTGTTATTTCACCTGATGGTTTATTTCCCTCATTGTACAGAGAAGGTAAGTACAAATTTGCTGAAAGTCCTTTTTTTGCCTTTAGTCTTTGTCAAAGTGCATTATGTATGCATATGCCAATTTCACACGTTTCTTGGTGTTTGGTTTCAACGAGAGTTATCCGAAATCTTCAGCTCTTTCGCTGGAGCAAGTTTACTGACTTTTCCTACTGATATGATAAAGAAGGTTGGCCTATATTTGATCTCTAACAAAATTTACCTTTTCTCTTCTATGTCATGGCAGTTATAAGAAGAGCTCCTCATGAATTCAAGATTGCCTGCTTAGAGGTTAGTACTCAAAATAGTGATGGTTCTTTCAGCTGTCTTTAAGTATGCATGAATGTATGAAGTGGATATTAGTTTCTTTAAAAGGGATGTTAATTAGGGAATTCAGGGCTGACTTGAAATCCTTGACCAACGTTTGGTTTCAGGATCAAATTCCTGGTAACTTTATCAGCATTTCAGTTTTAACCCAAATCTATTAGTTGGTACAATACTGATCAGATTGTAGCGCCAAATACATTTACACAAATATTGTTTCTTTAAGTGCAAAAATCCTTAATATTAATATTCATCATTCACCTTTTTTCGGGCAATTACAATAAATTCTTGAAAAGTTTAACTTTTTTAATAAAAATCTAAACAAAAAGAAAATGGAAAAAGAAACATGCAACTAATTGAAGAAAAACACTACAAATAGAGAGTCAAGTATTGTACCAAGTGGAGATTATACATCTTATCTGCCTAATCCAGATAGTTCTAAAAAATAATATATATTTACCTAATCCAGATGCTAATGCTGCATACCAAATGACCCCTTTTGGATTCGATCCTTCTTTATCTCTCCAATGGTTTGCCACCTTCTAATGTGTTCTCTACATTTCAGGACATTAAAGCACTTTTTCCACCAGACTATAACCCCTTTTATGCGGGATTCGGGAATAGGGACACTGATGAGCTCAGTTACAGGAAAATTGGAATTCCAAAAGGCAAAATTTTTATAATAAACCCAAAGGTTCGCACTCTTTCCTTTGCGTTATTGTTAAAAAACTGTATGTACAGTTTGTCAAGTTTTACACTCTTGTCTAACATGTTGAATTGGACTTACAGGGGGAGGTAGCTATTAACCACCAAATTGACGTGAAATCCTATACTTCATTACACACTCTAGTTAATGACATGTTCCCTCCTACATCCATGGTTGAGCAGGTTAGTGCGCGATGACTCTCTTTTTTAATATCTCATCTTTGTTTGTTCTAAAGTAATTGAATTTGAGAAGTTTTAGAGCCATATTGCACCATGAAATGCAAGTTTACAGGACGAGCTGTCAAACATCAAATTCCTGTTATTTTCAATTTTAGATAGTACGCATTATCTTTTGGGTGTCCTCAATTCTACTAGGAAGATTCATAGTTAGTGGAGTCAACTCTATGAAAAAAAATTATGCAAATAACCGGAAATAAGTTATTAGCATAGTCAATCTCATTTAGAGACTCGAAAACATCGTCAAAATCCAGAGAAGAAGATTAAAACTTGTATAGTTTCTAGTACTCTTATTAGCAATTACGCTGTTATGGCGTGTTGCATTCCCGGATTTTCTTTTCTTTTTACTTTTAGGGGGGGAAAGAAGAACAATTGGCGGACTTGTATGACATATATATTCATTCTTTTCTGTTTGCACGCATTATGCAAAGAACCAACTTTTCATTTACTGGTTATTCTTGGAGCTTTGACTCTTCTATATGGTCTTTTGACGGGCCATGACATTGTTCTGGATTTTCATTGTAAATGCAGGAAGATTTTAACTTGTGGAACTACTGGAAAATGCCCTTGGCAGACGTCGATAACTTGTAGAGATTTCTTCCCGTCATACCGATGGATCCACCTTTTTTGTTGATCTGAGAAGTTTAGCCGGTATAAGTATAACCAACCACCTGCAGTTTCTTTTGTAGGAGAGCTGCCATTCTTAAGGTGTATAAAATTCAGCTATGTAGGTCCTTATTATTGTACTCAAAAAGGCATAAAGTTCATACTCATGAATAAAAAATTTCTTTCTATTTCTCTAACTTCATTTGCTGGCCTTGCCTTTTTCAAATTTCCTCAAAAGTGCATTCTTTCCTCATGCTCCTATACTCGTTGTAACTGAACAATAGTCATTGTCACAGAGTTTTAGTAGCTTAAAGGAGCAGTTACGTGAAAAGATCAATATTTATTATCTCAATTTATTTCAGATATGTAATTCAATTTGACTCATGCAAATTCTTATCAAAATATTTTAAAATAACTTTTTCAAATATGATATTTTTTATATAGTTGGTTTTTTTTATTAGGTATTATTTTTTTTTGAAAAAAATGAATAAAATAATTAAAACTTAGTAAAAATTGAGCGGATTGAATTATGACCCAAGTAAAATTTTAATTGTATTTTGACGAGTTTGATGTTTTGATCTTAATCCGTCCAAATTTGTCTCCTATTATTTTTCATATTATGTTATATTAGTATATATTAACATTTCAATATATACAAATGAGATCTCAAAATTCAAAACTGGTACGTACTTTCTGAGTCCAGCTTATCGCACAGTACTCATTTATCGTCTATGATATTTTTTACATATTTTTTCGATAGAGCTCGTCCACGGAGTTGTCTAAGTATATTCTACAAGACAACGAAAAAAAAGGAAAAAGAAAGAAACAGAGAAGGCGCGAAAGGAGAGGCAAGAGACTCGAACTACTACCGAACAATCTAACTTCTTCCTTCTTCTCTAACACACACACACACAAAAAAAACGAAATGTCTCATTCCATTTCTTCTTCTTCTTCTTCAACGAAATCAACCGGAGAATCTGACCGGAAACTCAATTACTTGATCGGCGATGTCATGGCTCAGATCGGCGGTGAGCAAAGCTGTAGAAGTTGGCGGTGCCGGCAACAGAAATATCTCTCGCAACCTCCGTTACTACGCCGATTCCGTCGTTCAACAAGCTAGTAATGCTGTTTCCGGCGGTGCCAAGTTATTCCTTGATCGTTCTGTATGACGAAATTCTTATCTCCATATCTCATTACATACTAACATTTCGAGTTTATGAGTTCTGGATTCTAGGGTCCAGGCCTTGTAAATTTGAATTCAGAATACAGACTATATAATATGAGTACATATTAAAAATTTGAAAATAAGATCTAGAATATAAATCTAGCACTCAGACTAAATATATGCCGCAAGTATAAAATTGAAGGCATTTTAGGAAGAAAGGTATGTAAACACTGGATTTGCCTTGTATCTGAGTAGTATTGGTCTTAGTGGATGAAACCGGACATAGTTGTAGCTATTTACATTTCTACATTGTCTTCCAAATTTAGCGTATTTGCACTTGATCAACTATTAGTAAAAGTTTGCTCCATTTCTGAATTGATGTGGAAACCAGCATTCAATGCCTATCCTCAACAGTTTCTACTGAATGTTGACACCAATTTATGGAGACAGTGGAATTCTAATTAATTTAAGTGTACATACATATTTACATGCCGACTTACAGAGTACATATGGGACTTTTGAAACTGTTGGAAATACCTAAGAGAGAAGATACTGTCTGCAACACTTTCCACACTCTATTTCTGATTTGGATAACTTTTAGTTGCCACAATTATGTTCTTCTTGTTCATGCCCCTCTTCTCAATAACTTTTATTCAGAAAAAGAACTATTTCCTCCCCAAGTAATTATCATGGATTCACTGACTGAAAGTGGAATGGATTCAGAGGATTCATATAGTGTCAAATAAGAATTAACACATATTTGATTGATTGAAATAGCAATTTTTTCCTGTTATATTCTTTAACTAAATGCATGGTTTTCTCCTGGTGGTTTAGGGGTCTCGGAGTTTTCAGAATTTTAAGCAAGCGGTGAAAACATTAGAAGAACTTTCTGTATCATGTAGAGGTGTAGAGAGAGTTCAGCTACTACGAAGATGGTTAGTTGCTTTGAAAGAGATTGAGAGACTATCACTGCCTCTGCCTGTTAGTGAACATGTCTCTTCCCCAAAGAGCATTGATTCTATTTATACCACCGATGATGACAGGAGTTCTCCTCGTGAGCCAATTTTGGTGAGTAAGTCATTGAACTGTCCATCTTGTGAAGTTTCCAGCTTTATGAAGGATGTTAATATTTCATTTATGACTCGATCTTCAGGAAACCCTATGACATTATGAGATCAATATTTACATGATTTCAGTTTTAATTCAGATGCCTCCGTTGTGTTAGCTTAGGGAATTCATACTGTAATCTGTCATAGTGGCAAATTTTTGGAGAACTAGGTTGATTCATGTGAAACAGAATACAACAGCTCAAAACTTAGCTCTCAATCATCTGGTTGTAAACGACAAGATATATTTTTCCCAGGTGTACTAGTTGGGCCCTTGAGTATCCTCAACGACAAGATATATTTTTTCCATTTCCCAAATGGATTCTTCTCATAAACTATATTTTTCTCATAGATCAACTTCCTTGAGTATTTTGATTCACACTTGTGATAATTTTCTCATGTATTTGCTTACATTACAACGGACAGGTTTTATATTATGATCCTGATCTTGGCGGAGAACCATTGAATTTCAGAGATGTGTTCCTTAGCAGTCAAGCTCTTGAAGGCATGATACTTTCAATGGTAAGATAAAAAAAAACTTAGCTAGCTGGTGTTGCTTACCTGCTTGATGACTTGACAATTGCTCCTCTACATGGTATAGTTTAACCCTAATGCTTCTAAACATTTCAACATCCGAATCCACCATTGTGGTGCGGGTGTTAGGCCTGAACACTTACCAGTGTATTATCAACCAAAAAGTGAATATATAACTATATAATGGAGGGGGTTACGGGACGGAACCTCCACACAAAATGTTTGAAAGTCAACCACTTCTAATAATGGTGCTTATCATTGTGGTGTGTCATACAGTTACCAAGCTGAAAAGAGACCTCTTTTTTACATGATCTTGTGTTAGTCTATGTAGGCCTCCAAAAGATTCTTACTGTACAATATCTATACGTCATGACCTAACTACAAAAGTATTTTGACTTGCCTGATTCTGAAATTAGGCATTTTGCTGCTGTCCATCATCATCTTTGCTTTTGTCATTCGGGGGTGATGAAATTCTTCATAATGCCAAGTTTCCTCATGAAGCTTGAAGATGTGATTGGCCAATGTATCCACAACACCCATTGCTTCTCTAAAGCAATGTTGGATTAACACTTCATTAAACCTCTTCAACATGTTTCTCAAAGCATCAACAATAGCAATCAGGTTCCATGGAGGATTTTATTTAGCAGCGATCCGTTAACCACCAACAAAGAATCAAGTTCAATCATTAACTCTAAAACCTGGTATTGATGATTACTCTAGCCCGATCTCTAAAGCCTTGCCTCAGCAATGCTATTATTATGTTGCAAAACAAACATTAAATTTTTTATGTGGAATTTTACTTATTATCCTTATGAACAACCAAACGACCCCCTAGATTCAGAGCTTCTCCCAAGTTTACCTAGCTACTTCCCCCAACTGGTTTTCTGTTTCTTTTTAAGGTTGAAGATACACCTCTGGTAAGTGGTGCTGCAAACCCCCTTTTGTACCACATGTATTGGAACCTCTCATTCTTCATGTGAAACCTGAGAACAAGAATTCATCATCATGAGTAATCCTTTTGTACATTTTTTACATGAAAGTGAACAGAGAATAGTTGACCTTATGTACTCCTGAAGAAGAGGAGTGTTCCTATTAGCATATCCATAGATAATGTGCGGTTATAGAAAAACTTTTCCTCTCATTTCTACTGCCAAATCTGGATTTATAGATTTGTGTTATTCATCATCTTCTATTGAAACCATATCACTATTTCCAAAAATCCCCTCAGGGCTTCCGGAAATAGTCAAGAATATTTGTCTATGACATTCATCAAAATTCAGGAAGAAATGGGAAAAGTGGCCCTCACTTGGGTGCATATGACATTTTAACTTTCATGGATGAAGCATGATGTCAATTGTAGTGATTGCTTTATCATCTGGAAACTCTTTTGTTTCATCTTTCAGTAACATATGTGTTCTGTTGATAGGGATTAACTGGTTTTAACTTTTTTGTTTGAAACAGATTCTTGAAGCACCTGATACAGAAGAAGTTTCTTTACTTATGGAGATATTTGGGTGATTTTCCAATATTGATCCTAAATTTTTATTTGAGCTTCTACCTTGGATGGACTTGGACAATCAGTAATATGAGTGGTTGAGTCACTTCAGAAATGTGTGCTGAACTCAACGGAATTCAATAAACAGAACTGATACCAGATTTATTTGGTTTCTGATCTATTTTATTCACTCTTTAGGCTATGTCTTACGGGCGGGAAAGAAGTTCGTGAGGCAACCATGAGCAGCATAAAAGTTTTGGCAAAAGCTTTCTCAAGCTATAAAGAAGAAGTGCTGGTAAGGGAACAAACTCCTTATGCATGTCTGGTAGTGATGTTGCTCTAGGATCTAAAGAGTTATGGTTAGTATGTTATTAAACAAAACTGTTAGTCCATCAATTTTCCATAATTCATACCAGGCGAATAAGGAAGAACTGCTTCTCCATGCACAAGGTGCAATTGCTGGATTGAAAATAAATGCAGATATAATGAGGTATGAAGATCTTTTATCCTTTTATCATGATAGAACTTTCTCAATATTTATATGCAAGTTCTTTGACAAGAAAAGCTCATACTCTATTTCTTCTGGTGTATATTTATGTCAGTCTGTATCTTCCACCTCAATTATTGTCACCATAGGCTAATTCTTGTAAGCTACTGCGATTGTTGCCATAGTTTTGCTATTCTCGTATTCTCTTTGGTTAACTTCTTTTAACCTATACCAGGAGCTGTTGATTTATGAATTTCTGTATACATTTGTAATTATTTGAACATTTGAGTTAATATCTCTGAGGAATTTTTCTAGCTTTTATTTTGTCCAGCTTTTAGAGGCGAGAATTTCCACTCCTTTTCTAACTCCTTCCAAATATGGGCATCCTTTCACTATCTTTAGATGTTCTAGTTGAAGTTTCATGTGAAATTTTGCTGGGTGCACGCCATTATGAGTGAAGAACTTGTCTGTCATTGTGTAGGAGAGTTGCCGGATGGGAAAAGCCTTTTCTGAATTTGGGACTTCAAACATTAAATGAGGCGAGCTCAGGAACCTAACAGGATGTTTAGATATTACTCCCTGCATCCCAAAAAAGAAGTCCACTTTTCTTGTCGGTCAGATCCAGATAACATGTTATACTCAACAAAAAGTGACATCAGATCCACTCTTATCAATCTCAGTATAATTCTTATAATCCTCTTGTCTATTCTGTTCTCCATTTCTTAAAAAAATATTTTCCAAAATTGAAAAGGTAATTCTAAAGTCCTCATGTCCCCCCAATAAATACTCAACGGTTCCCTATTTCAACCCATCTCTTAATGATGATGTCAAGTCATCTGCATTTGGAACTTTAGGAATAAATCCAGATTTTGTAGCATCTTTTTATTGCTTTATAAGGCAGACCCAAAGACCTAAATTCTGGTCGATAGACTCTCTACTCATGAGTAGCTGGTGTAACAAGTGCATGCTTTCCATAAAGATTAGTGAAGAAGATAAACTTATCATCTTTAAAACATAAGCTATCTGCTCTATCCAGAGATAGAATATTGTGTCCAAGTTGCGAAAAGAAGCTTATTACAGTATCGAGACCTTCTGCAGTAGCTCATGCTTCCATTATATTTAGTATTTCAGCAATAGTAGCATTTGATTTATGTTCTTATGACTCACAACTTGATAGTTATGGTGTACTGTAGTATATTGTTCTTTAGTTGTTTGCTATGAACCTTAGATAATCATGCATTTATTTTTCTATTTGTCTGCATAAACTGCAAAATATAATTTCTCCTCTTTTGTGATCTGCCATCAGAATAGATTCTGAAGTCTCAAACATACATCAAAAACTAGACAAGGTGATTTTACAACTGCCTTCAAGCAAACATGAAAAGGACTCGTCTAGTGTTGCAACAAATGCAACATCAGAGGCAAGTTGGATTTCCTTTCCACTTTTTGTTTTTTACCAAATTATGCTCTCTAACAATGAATTTGCAAAAGACGCAATAGTTGAGAAAGCAGAAAATTTTCTTGGGGGTGGGGGAGTAAAAGTCTCAATAAGTTTTATATTAGCCATAACATACGAACGTTCTTTACGAACTTAAACTTGTTCCTTTTGTCTAATAAATAGATAGCTCTTTCTAATTATTGTACTCCCAAAAAAATGAACTTAATGTCTTTGTTTGATTTGGAATTGGTTCATCGTAAAATCGGAATTTTCTAAAGTTCTTATAGAAAGTAGAGTAAGAAAATATTTACACATCTTGGCAGTCAGCAGAAGAAGATTTTCAACTTCCCTTGAACACTTGTGATATAAAGAGGGATGACGGAGTTGTGTTTTGAAAAACAAAATACTCCTTAACAAAGAAAAAAATGACGATTATGAAGAAAATGTTGTTTAACTTCCCATTGATATGGCACCCATTAAATAGGATGGTCAGAGAAAAAACATTAAAATGGGATGAGGTAGTTGCTTGACAAATAAATGCTCTGTAAACAAAGGACAAAAGGTCAATATTGAATCAACTCTGATAGAGGAAAATGATCTCATATCATGACTATATAGAAACAACTAATGGGTATAATCCTGGAAAGATTTCACACCAAATGTAAAAGGAACTCTTGTTGTGAAAATTCTCAAATTACTCAGAAATTGACAGTTAAACCATCTGTTTAAGTGGGGAAAAAAGTGAAAAAAACAAATGAAGGAATGTCATGTTTTGGAGTTGGTTATCACATCCTTAAACTTTTAGTTATACTTATGAATCGGAAATATTGGGAAAAAAAGGGTGTAAAGAGGTTAAAAAAGGAAGTAAAATTATCTTGGATTATTTTTAACTGACCATTTTAAGGCACTTGAAAGAAAACAGAAGGACCTAGAGTCATTCTAAGCTGAATAATATGTACGAAACATACAGCTGTATCATTAGATGCATTAAACAAAAGAACAGGTATCTGAAACTTGCCGACATAATTCCTTTCCATATATATGCAGGATTTGAAGATAAACTGATCTGTTGTTGTAAAAGACTGCAGAGTCAAGCAAAAAGAGGTCAATTAAATGATGAAATTGTCTTATGAATGTATTGCAGTGACCCCATAGGAGTAATCTTATTAGGCACTTATAAGGTATATGGTGCAACTGCCGTATTTATGGAAAAGACATCACTAAATAAATGAAAATTTTCCTGTCTTAACAGTTGAAGACAATTTTCTAGTGAAATAATAATTCAATTATACAATAGCAGGGAAGAGTCCTCTTCTCAATTCTTACGCTTTTGCTTGGGAGCTAGGGAGGAATAACTTTGGTGTGATAAGTTGAGAAGAAGTGAAACAATTTACAGTAATATTTTCCTCTGTTTTTAATTTAATAGTCTCTTGAATAAGGGTGGTTCTGTGCTTGTTCTCTCTTTTACTTTATATAATTAAATATCCAAACTGGGTGTACACTTAAATCATTCATTAGTATCTATCTGTATCAATAATTTTTATGATTTTAGCCAATTATCATCACTTCTAAGTGAGAGGCAGAGAAACCTGAAGACTTCTTCTTGAAGCAGATTGTTAAATGGTGTAACAATTTCATGTCCTATGTGTAAGCTATAATTAAATTTAGTCTTGACTATGGGGTAGCTTTATATAAATACTTTAGATGGTTGTAAGTCATTTATATCAGTACTTATTATGTGTCTAAACACTTGTAAGATGCTTCAATATGAAGTCCTTTATTTGCTAATATTTTCGTAAGTTGCTGCATCTTTTGTATGTTCCTGTTCTTATTATCAATTTTTGAACATTCTGTGCCCAAATCTGCTGTTTTTTTTTAAAAAAGAAAACAGTTAGCCATTGGATGGATCAGTTATAATAGTTCGAGCAACATATGTGGATCTACACTTTTCCTCTATGATTTGTCCTTTAGGCACTTAACTCTTCAAAGAAACTATTAAAGATCCTATCTCCAGGATAAGATTTAGATTCATTTTAATTGATGGGAACTTTAAATTTTTTGTTGGAACTGATGCTTTTTCTATGGCAGGCATTGAAAGAAGCACTCTCCCAGCTTCAATTCTTATCCAAGATGGAAGCACTTTTATTACAGAAAAAGGCTTTGCTCGGCAGGGATGTTCCTGAAAGTCAGTCCAAAAGGGTATGCTTTCTAAATGATGACATGGGGTTTTCCTGAATCTGAAGTGCTATATATCCATGATGATCATAGCCCTAATACCCTGGGCATGATACCTGCTTGAAATATCCACACAATATTTGTTATGGGGTTGTTTAATGTTGCTTGCTTTCCTGTGTGAGACCTTTTATTTTATGAGGTGTCTCTACAAGTAGATCAGATTCACTTATCTTAGCTTTCAGTAATGAATTACTACCTTTGCACCACAAAGAGTAACCTGGTTCATACTCCACTAGAACAATAATATTTGATAAAAGGGGGGTAACTATATCTAATCTGCTTTACTGCAAATCATTATTATTTTCACTCTTGGTTTAATATATAAATTCTCAGAAGAAAATACACAAACTGTATCCATTTGACAAGTTTCTTACTCCTGTATTTTACTTTACTGACTGCAATTAGAACCAATAATCATAGTGATAAAAGAAGTAAACATAAATGTCTTTGTTACATCCAAAGCTCGTTTCCTTCTTTTTTTTGTTGGTAAATAGAGATATTTTATAGATACAAACTAAGCAGCTATTACATATGCTTGCATAATACTCAGGTTTCCAAACTTAAACTAGATTCTTTATCAGCTTGTAGACTTGGTAGCAACCATGTTGGAGGGTTCTTCAAAAAGACTTTTGATTGTTGATTGTGGTTGTTCCCTGTTGTGCTAATACGTCCACCACTTTATTGCCCATCCCTAAAAACTGTACCAGATCAGTGGATTCCCCAATTTCTTCATCCATAACCTGCATTCAAAAATCATGTTATGATAAATCGGGTTATCATTTTCAAGTGGGTACATGACTTCTGTGGAATCTGTCTTCACTTTTAAGTGGGAGGTTTCCATGGATATGAGCCAGCTTGAGTCTTTGAAGAAGCACATTTCCTTTATTAGTACAAGATCTATTAGAACTAATCATCAGCTAAACATCAAATCGATTATGCAATTGCAAGAGTAGGAAAAAATAGAGGTGTCAATGTGGGAGGGGTAGAATAAAATGGGGATGATGATTGTTCTGACTTTTCCTAATCATTAGGAAATGAAGTAGAAAGTTAAGAAGCTCGAATAGTGCAATTAACCCTATAGAGGGCTCTCTTCTAATATTTTGATCTGTTCTTGCATGTTTGAACTGTGTTTACTCTTTGCTGTATAAATAGGTTTTTAAGCTGAAGGTTTTATCAGAGTCTCTTTCAAGCTCTACTTCAAAAACTGAAGACCGCATTTCAGAGAACAGGTTCGAGCTTCTCTCCTTTGTCATTTCTGTTCTCTCTCTGTGTAAAAACAACTTCTAAATGAGATTTACTTTATAACTACAATCGCTGTAATCTTATAAAACCCTTCCCTCTCTATTTCTCAATGAGAAAGAACAATTTACTGTGCTTTTCTATTGTAAATACTTCTATTCTGATCTATAACTAGTACTAGTAACTAAGTCGTCTTAGGTGGAGGTTTACTGAAAAGAGAAAGTGGAAGGAACACTGAATGTCTAATCCTTTGGTGTCAAATGTGATACTGAACCTGGCAGTTTATGAACTCTATTTCAGAGAAATCTTGCGAAGGTTAACTAGTACGTTAGAGTGATTGCAAAGACCATGGGAAACAGCAGTGCAAATTTTATATGGAACATACTTATGTTTTTCAAATAGAAGTTATTGTTTCTGTAGTTTCTAGTCCAAGGGTAATCTTACATTTTAGTTTTCCGGTAATGGATCTCATATTTTAACACCATAAACTTAATTGCATTTTAGGATCTCATACTTTCGCACCATAAACTTAATAGCATTTCATAGAAATATGCTCATATTGTTTTATTAAAGCCAAGTTATTCCTTATGGGAAATTTTGGATTTCCTCTTTTTTTCTTTTAGTGGAGATATCTGGTTCTCATTTTAAGTTGTTCTCCGCTTTCATCTATTTCTTTCCTGCAGAATCCAAAAGGAAGGAGCCCTTAAGTTCCGTATAACAAAAACTAGCGAGATCTCCCAGCTTGAGAAGGTAAGATTTCATCAACGTATTCCTGATGGACATTCTATCAACTGTTTATAGTCGGTGAATATACTTGTATGAGAAATGATTTGATGGCATGGTTAGATACATATTCTTTCAAAGTTCTCTTTTCCTAAGCTAGTAATTGTCCACCTTTGAGGTACTTCAAATTCTCTGATTCAACAGGTGTTCTCCTGATCTCTTTCTATTATCATCATAGGTTGCTCTTTTCTACTACTGGGTCAACTTGCAGGTTTGTTAGAGAAAGACTTAAAATCTTTAAGTCAATTAGCTATAATTGTAAGGTTAAAATAATTATGATTGCAGAGAACTTATTACATTTTAAAATGAGGCGAAACAAAGTTATTTTATGTATGGATTTACCAATAAATCCAAAGGGAGTGTGAGTATATATGAGTTTATAAGCTCCATGAAATGCCATATGTCTTTGTCTTTATCTTTATTTCCTGGCACACAAACATTTGTTTCTTTACTTCTTATTGTTTCCGAATCTGTATGTAACCAAGGAATGGATGCTCAGATGATTTTGTTTCATTTTGAGTTAGATTTACAATTACTGCAAAGAGCCAGCCAATGTTAACTATTTCCTACATGTTTCATGTCTCAGTGACCTCTAGTTCTTGGGAACGGGATAAAACGTATTTCACTTAGTTATAAGTTTCTTGATCAGAGATTGTACTCACCTGTTGAAGTATGATTTTCTTTTCTAGGAACTTGAGGATGAAATTAATGCGCTTGAAAATCAGAGAGATGAACTTGAAGCAGCTCTGAAAAAGGTAGCAAATGCTTACTCTTCTTTACTGAAAGTTTGTGTTTGTATGTTGGTAGTAAAAGATGTTCCATCAATCTTCTATTTTACTTGGGTTGAAGAGCTACTTCATCTGCATCTATCATTTAATTGCTGCTTGTTAATTACATAATAAGCTAGTAATCTCTTTAAGGAGTGTGGTGGTCCGATGTTCCCTTTGAAGGACCCTGAGGACCTAGTCCTTCGTAAAAGGGGGAGCAGAGCCTCCTTCGCGTCTTGTATCCCTCAGACTCTGCAATGACTTACCTAATGGAAGGAACCTTGCCTACTAATTCTTTAGTAAATGTAAAATTATGTACACAGACCCTTGTGGTCTGGCCCCTCCCTGTACCCCGCGCATAGCGGGAGCTTAGTGCACAGGATTGGCCTTTATGTACTTCTACGTAACAACTATGCCAATTTTCTTAAATGAAGTTCCTTCCTAATTAAAATATTCCGAACGGGCATCACGTGTATACACTTCTTTAGTATGGAGAAAAGGGGCAAGCAAATTGCATGCTAAAGGTAGACAAGTACCAGTGAGAAACTTCTTTGAATGGACACTTGAAATCACCCATATTTGTCAGCTAAACCAATGAGAACTGTGTCCTTATTTAGTTTTAGGTTTGGCTAGTGAACTTCCCATATTTGGGTTACATGTGCTGGAGGGTATTAGAGAAAGAGAATGCTGCACTTGTCCCTCATCAATTGTGTACGAGTTTTCAAAGCGGTTCATAGTGTCTTAGGTCACTCCATCCATAGCATTAAGGGTTTAGGTTGGGTGCTCAATTTTTTTGTTAATAGAACCAATTCTGTTCACTTCATGTAGTAACCTTTGTCAAAAAAAAAATCTGTTCACTTCAAGAGAAGGGACATCTGAAAATAAAAAATGGAAAAGAAATGAAGTCACTCAGCTTCAATGAAGTCCGAGTAAAATGACTCAGCTTCGATGAAGTTCGAGTTCCCTGAGCATCAAATGGTCTATGGAAATTATTCCTGAAAAATGTGTCACCGGAATTGAGGTGCTAGAAGAAAATGATCTATGATATTCCCCTATATTCAACATTCAAGCATGAATGTTTCAGAAATTACTCCCATTGACCCCGGTCATTGAGAATTTAAAGTAGTAAAATGCAAGATTTTTGTTGATTGATTATGAACAAGCATGAATGTTTCAGAAATTACACCCATTGCCATACTGCTAGCATTTCTAATCATCATTCTTATCACTGATCATGCTGTGTCCAATGAGTGTAGGTCAAAGTTGCATTGGTTTCTGCAAATGCCCGTCTTTACAATGCTAGGGAAGAAAGAGATCAGTTTGATGAAGCTAATAATCAAATTCTTCAACACTTCAAGGTGAAGGTAAGGCAATGAAGTAGTACCGTCATGGAATTTTTCTTATAATGAAGTTAATGCATAATTTTGTAGTCTGCAGACCATCTTATTATAAGATCTAATATCTTCAATTCTAAATTCAGGAAGATGAGCTGTCTAAATCGATGACCTTATATAAGGCAGAAGCAGATGTTTGTGATGCATTTATTAGTTTTTTAGAAGACTCCTGGACTTTTGAGTCCTCTCACATCAGACAAAAGCAGAAGCAGGTCAAGTATGAAGCTTTCCTCAATCTGCATTTTGTTTCTGTTTTTCTTTTCTGGAAAAAGGTGTTACCATGTTAGTTTGAGTTTTCTGGCTAGCTAAATTTATAAGTAGCAGTACAATTGAAATTAAAGTGGCTATACTGCTATTTCAACATTTCATCATGCATGTAATATATCCTTGAATAGTAGAATTTCTTGGAGCATGCTTAGTTAATGATATGCTTTTGAAATGTCAAGTGATGAATTGGACAAATGTGAAGATTATTTGGTGAACTTGGCAATCCATGTCTTATCAATGTACAAGGTATGACTGTTTTGATGTGGAATGTCTAAGATTAATGCTTCAGATTGTAATCAGATAGTCAAATTGAGAACAGAATGACTTTTCCTTTGCACTTGACAGGATGAGCTGGGGCCTTCTATTGCAAACCTTAGGGAACTCGGAGAGAACTTGAAACGGTATTATAATTCACATTTCTAAAATATCCTTCTAGAGGGAATCGTGTTTCTAAATTTGAATTGCCAGGCCAGAAATTATCAACAATGAGAAGATGGAAACAGTTGAAGTGAAGAGAAGGTTGGAAGAAGAATACATGGATGCAGAGGCCAAGGTACATCTATAATTTATTTCTCCAACGTACTCTGATCTGTTACTAGTCTTAAGTGCATGATCATTCTCCACTGGAAGAGTATTTATATCGTACCGGGGTTTCTGATTTGCTTGACACTCTCGTTCAGTCTGCATTTGTTTGTTTCTACATGTAGTACTTATCTCTTAACTTATGTATTTTTTTCTGTTATATTATTATTTCTTTTTTTCTGTCCTTGCTATTTCTCATCAGTGGATGTTCTGTCTATCTTTTTTCCTACAATTAATTTGCAGTTAGTTACAGTGTTCAGTGTAGTGGACGGCATAAAAAGACAATTTTATGGGCAAGACGGCACGATCTCTAGGTGATGAAGTGTAATTATTTACTTGTTTTGTATGCACTACTAGTAGTTGCATCCTGTAATGATGACCTCAAGATTAATAATACGACTTAACCAGGAAAGGTGATGAGAAACTGAAAGAGTTACTTGATACTCTTCAAAAGCTAGAAGACGATTTTGAATCCATTAATAGACCAACACTGGAACTTGAGACCCTGGGGAAGACTGAGGCAAAATCCAAAGAGACACTTGAAAGCTCCCCTTCGTCATCTCCTACGCAGCCAACAAACGATGACTCTGCATCGTTTGTGGATGCTCTTCCACGAATCCAGACGCCAAGGCCTGACCATACATCCAATGCAGAAACATTGGTACTAACACCAAGACGATGGATGAGAGAGAATGTCAGAAGAAGTCTTTCATTAGCTATTAATCAAACAACAGGGTCGCTGGAGTCCAGTTTCAAGTCACCAAAACATCGGAAAGGGAAGTCCATGGATCCAGCTGCTGAATTGTCTAGGTTGAAGCTCGAGCTGGAACTCGAGAATGATAGTAGAATACACCCTTCTGAGGAGATCAATGACTGGGAATCTGATGTGATTGATAAAGAAAGATTACATTTTAAATGAACTTCCCAACCACAATACACAGGTTCCAATATGTATGTACCCTTTGGATAACCTTCTTGAGCCAAAAGACGGCGAAAACTGCCTATAGCCCTTTTTTTTTTTACTCATGGACCTTGGGGATAACCTCTTAAATCACTTTACACTTAGTTTTTCATGGTATTAGATGAATCTTTTGTACATAAAATACGCTGTTTTTATAACGTTCAGCTTTAATTCTGGTGTACACATGGATTCTCCGTATGTACTGTCCTTTTAGTAAATTTAATGAACTAAAGCTGTTGAAGGAGTACTTCTTCAAGTAAAAACCACCATGAGTTATGGTGGAATGGTTGGATCTTCATCTTTAAACAGAAATTTCGGATTCTAACACTTGGAATGGAAACCTTTTGGTAGCCTTAGTGAGCCTACCCGGTACGAATCTAGATTAGTCCGACTAGTTAAAAAAAAGTTACTTTTGGTCTGGGAAGAAAAACCTATAGAGACTATTTTTGGAGTGCAAAAGCTGAAGTAGTGTTAATAGGAAGAGGGTAATAGAGACTGGGAGTTGGGCCAGTTGTGGAAGGTTGTCAGTTGGGAGCATGACTAGTTTTGAACTTTGTCAGATTGAAGTCATGTGAGGAATCTGATGTGGAATAGTAGCAGTAGCAGAAACAACAGTCACAAAAGCGGATTTAGAATTTTGATTTTAACCGCTGAACCCATTACATATTTAAAATTTTAGGTAAAAAAATGATTATTTGTGAATATTTTTGGTATCAGAAACCTGGATTCAGATGAACGTATTACGTATATAGTCAGCTAAGGGATGAAGTAGGGGCATGGTGGTTTCTACTTTGTTCCTATAAACTACAAGTCTTTGATGAAATCAATACAAAATATTTGTGCAAATCTCTTGGTATTCACAAATCCTTTTGTTTTGTATCAAACAAACTACAATTTATACCCACTCCATGTTCCCTTCTACCTATTATATCTGTCTATATAGTGTGAATCGGAGCTTTGGTTTAATGTCTCTCAATCGTTCTTCACTTAAATATCAATTTTTAAACTCGCAAAATATATCTAATTCACACATCATGCATTGTGCTCTTACCATTACACTGAAGCTTTGAGATATATATCATCTAACAAGTTTCATTCCACCTTTTTCAACGTTTTTGGGAGTCATGAAATAGAAATTCACAACTTTCACAATTTTTTATGTCAATCCATGAATTTTTTAAAATATGACGGTCCAAGACTACTATGATTACAAACCTATTAAATTTTCATGTATCACATATGACCCTATCTCACAAACAAAGAAGACTAGGGGATTATGTTTTGTTATAAAATCAAGGACCTCGAGCATTGGAAACTATATCATTTTTATACTCTCTCTGTTTGATAATACTTGTTAATTATTAATTTTGCACACTTCTTAAGTTTAATAATACTTGTTAATTATTGACATCGCGCACTTCTTAAGAAACTATAAATATAAGGTAATTTTACTATATCACCTTTTGAATATAATAAATATAATGTATTGAAAATGTAATAGAGAAATGACTATAAGGATAAGTTAGGAACTAAGTATAAAATTATTTATTACTTTCATAAGGTGGACAAGTATTATTGAATATTTTAAAATAGTATAGTGGATAACTATTATTGGACGGAGAAAGTAAGTTTGAATTCAACATTTTCAAAAATTGGAAAGGCAAGACATTGTACCCTTTGGCAATGAGTAGAGTTAGTAGTGTCAAAAGTTAACATCTCAAAAACAGTAAAAAAATAAAATAAAAAATATTTTTAAAAAAAAAATAATAATACGTCTCATAGATGGTTTGACCAAGTCAATGGGACAATGTGAAATGATATTAAAAAAATCCTATAACAGAATTCAATTTTTTTTATTTTTTTTTGGTGCTAAAAACAAAGTTGTTGAGGAATGGGCAATTTCTTTAATATCTACTGCATAAAAATGTTTGTTTAATCAAAATTTTGCTGCATTGGGGTTGTGGGTTTTGCAGACACTGGCCATTATTAATTCAATTGTTTTGCTCTCTGATTATTAAAATTTAAAGCTATCTTCTTTTGGACACGAGTAAAAACCACAAGATCCTTTGCTCATTCAAACTTTATTGTATAACTTTTTGATAAATTTCCCGCTTCAAAATTTAAAAATAACAATAACTTACTTCAATCTTAAGCAATTTAAGTTAGCTCTATAAATCCGCGTTGTTAATATCGCTCAATTAAATTTTGGAGTTTTACTAATCAAAATTTGACCTCCAACATTGTTTGAAATTCTCAATTGAATCCACAATCACATGGTTAAAAATCATGCGCAATACCGACAGAACTAAGTCGGTTAGTTCAATAATAAAAATTAGTAATTATATTCAATATGTAAGTGTTAGTACATGAATTTTTTGGTAATATGAATTTTAGGAATTTTTTTTGCAAAAACTTTACAGGACCCTCCTTAATGAATTGGGGGAACAATACCTATAGCATCACCATGATTTACAACATTTTTTTACCATTTAGGGGTCACTCATCAATAATAAGATAATTTTCTCAATTTTCTGTGTGTGTTAATACGTGAATATTTTGGTAATATGAATTTTCAGATCTTTTTTTGCAAAAACTTTACAGGACCCCCATAATGACCCGAGGGAACAATACCTATAGTCTAACCATGATTCATGTCATTTTTTAGCATTTAGGGGCCACTCAATAGGAATCAGGTGATTTTCTCAGTTTTTCGTGTGTATTAGTATGAATTTTTTGGTAATATGGATTTTGGGTACTTCTTTTTTCAAATATTTTACAGGACCTTCTATAATGACCTGGGGGAACTATACTTACAGCTTTACCATGATTCACGTCATTTTTTTAGCCTTTAGAGGCCACTCAATAGGAATTAGACGATTTTCTCAGATTTTCATATGTGTTAGTACATGAATTTGTTGGTGATATAACTTTCATGAAAACCTATTTTGCAAAAACTTTACATGACCCTCTGTACTGACGTGGGGAAACAATATATATAGTCTCACCATGATTCACACCGTTTTTTTAGCATTTAGAGGTCACTCAACAAAAAATAGGCAATTTTCTCAGTTTTTCGTGTGTGTTAGTATGTGAAATTTTTAGTGATATGGATTTCAGGAACTTCTATTGCAAAAACATTACAAGATCCTCTGTAATGGCATGGGGAAACGATACCTATAACCTCACCATAATTCACACATCTTTTTTAACATTTAGGAGTCACTCATCAAGAATTAGGAAATTTTCTCAGTATTTCGTATGTGTTTGTACATTTAGTGTTTGGTGATATAGATTTTGGGCATTTTTTTTGCACTATCTATATAGGACCCTCTGTATTACTTGGGTGAACAATACCTAAGTCTCATTATTGTTCACGCCAATTTGTTTAGTATAGGGGCCACTCAACAGATTGACGTCTCAATTTTTCGTATGTTTTAGTACATAATTTTTCTGGTGATATGGATTTTGATAACTTTTTTTGCAAAATCTTTACAGGACCCTCTGTAATGACTTAGAGAACAATACATATAATTGCACCATGATAGGAATTAAGTTTTTTTCAATATTTCGTGTGTTAGTACAATAATTTTTTGATGATGTGGATTTTTGAAATTTTTCTTGCAAAAATTTTACAAGACTCTGCGTAATGACCTGGGGGGACAATACTCCATGCTACTTTTTTTAGCATTTATGGGCCACTCAACATGACTTAGGTGATTGTCTCAATTTTTCGTGCGTCCTAGTATATGGATTTTTGGGAGCTTTTTGTACAAGAATTTTGCAGGACCCTCCGTAATGAAATGGGGGAACAATACCTATACTCTTATCATGATGCACATCACTTTTTTAGCATTTAGGGACCACTCAACATAAATTAGATGATTTTCATCGTTTTTCTTGTGTGTTAGTACATGAAATTTTTGGTGATATGAATTTCGGGAACATTTATGGAAAAACTTTACAAGACCCTCTGTAATGACCTGAGGGAACACTATCTATAGCCTCACCATGATTCACGCAATTTTTTTAGCAGTTAGGGGGGCACTCAACAGAATTAGACGGTTTTCTTCTCTTTTCATGTGTGTTAGCTCATGAAGTTTTTGATGGCATGAATTTCGAAACTATTTTTGCAAAAACTATACAAGATCCTCCGTATTGACTGGGGGAACAATATCAATAGCCTCACCATGATTGACGCCATGTTTTTTGCATTTAGGGGCCACTCATCAGGAATTAGACGATTTTCTTAATTTTGTTTTGTGTGTGTGTTAGTACATGATTTTTTGGTGATATGAATTTCGGGCACTTCTTTTGTAAAAACTTTACAAAATCCTCTATAATGACTTTGGGGAACAATGCATATAGTCTCACCATGGGTCATACCATTTTATTTAGCATTTAGAGGTCACTCCATAGAAATTAGACGATTTTCTCAATTTATATATTTTTGATAAAATGTTCTTAATAAGCATTTGGATGAGTTATGTTTTTTTTTTACATAATTGGATGGAGTTATGTATATTTAAGTTTAAATTGAAGAAAAATGTGTGTTGAAATACTTCGTTTCAAGCTCAAATACTAAAGTTTTGTTTTTTTTTTTATGTAAAAAGAAAAAACTTAAGTTTAGTTTGATCACAATTAAACTACTTTTTGCAATTATTGTAAAAAAATTCAAGAAAAAATGGTTCCATGCAATGGACCTGTTTTATTGTTTTTCATTTTTTTCCTTTTTGGTGCAAGTATTCTTCTTAGTTTCCAATTTCCATATATATATTTTGCCAAGAAATTTTAAATTAGTTTATCTTTGAGGCCTTTAAATATTTCTATAACATATATTTCAGATTTTTGTGCATCAAATTTAAGTAGTAAGGTGATTTTTAACCTTTGGTCGTTGAGAGTGAAAAGCACAAAGAAATCTATTACTTTCTCCGTTTATTACACTCTCCGACTCATATTAGTTGTCAAAATTATTAAAAATAGTTCTCCCAATTTACTTGTGATTTTACAAAATTATGAAAAAATTAATTATTGTTATCCCATTTTACCCTTAATATTAAATATTCTTGAAATAAGAATAACTTAAGGTGTGTTTGGTACGAACAAAAAAAAAAATATCATCTCAAGAAAATTTGTATGTAATCTAGCGAAATACTATTGGATGAGAGGAGACAGGGAGTAAGGCCTCGGCGGTGACAAGGGTTGTAGTGTGTAAGGAATGGGGGTTGAGAGTGTTGCCCGTTGAGTGGTGGAGATGAATAAGAATGTCATTCGTGAAACTTATTTTTCCTGCTTCAATTAAGGAAGTTATTTTCCTCATTTTTAACGAATTTGTTTTTCTAGAAAAATTTATCCAACTAAAATGACAATTGAAAAATATTTTCCTATGTATCAAACACACTCTTAATCTTATTCTTTTTAATAAAGTGCAATTTATTGAAGAAAGATAAAATTAAAATAGTAAAATAATTTTTTTTAATTCATATTTTTTTTAAAAACGTACAAAATGAACTTATAATAAAAACTAATATGCGACGGAAGGAGGGGTACTTTTATCACTTGTGAATAAATAGATATTTGACCATAGAGTAAATGAAGTGAAGTACCATTAGTAAATAGTATGGAACATAGATAGATAAATGGAAAAGGGTCAAAATAACTCTTGAATTATGTGAAATAGATCACTTACATCCTCCATTATATTTTGTGATTAAAAATATCCTGCCGTTATTTCAAGAGACCACAAATATACACTCAAGAGTTAAATACCCAAAGTTTTAGTAACTTGGCAAGCCACATAGGACTAATCCCTCCACCTAAGCGTTGCCAACTAGGATTCACTATTAAAAAAAAAAAAACTAGACCATTAGTGGCGACAAAAGTCGTCACAAAATTAAAAAAATATTAGCACTAAAGGTTTAAGTGATTTCTTGCGGCAACTAAGGCTACAATAGACATTCGCTAGTAAAACCTATTTTTTCAACAAAAAAATATGATAATTATTTTTCGGTTGCAACCTAATTTTATAAAATAAATAACATGTACTATTAATATTAAAAACATCTAATATTATTATGAAATTTATCAAAATTACTTCTCGACTCAAATGTCCTACTACATAATGCATTATTGTACATTTTATGCATTTATATGACATAAAAATAAAATATATAGTATCTTCAAACTCCTCCTTAATCGATATCATTTGTGATTTTTTTTAAAACAATGAAGAAAAAAACACAAAATCATAATTTAATGCTAAAATCAGTGAAAATCTTTAGTAGCGATATTCTGGGCTTTTGTGGCGACTTTAGCTGCCGCGAAAAGTCTAGTTTTTTTAAGTGAATCCTAGTTAGCATCGCTTAGATGGAGAGATTAGTCCCACGTGGCTTGCCACATCACTAAAAATTTGGGTTGTTAACTCTTGAGAGTATTTGTGGTCTCTTAGGATAACAATGAGAACATATTTTATCCCAAAATATAGCGAAGATATAAATAGTTTATTTCATATAGTTCAAGAGCAATTTTAACCCTTTTCTGTAGAATAAATAACCAAATAAATAATAGTAAGTCAAATAAACTTTTTTCCTTTTTTTCTTTTCTTTGAGAAAGGGAGTGGGACATTGTTGTACTTGGTATGTAGGCATTCAAAAGTTCTTCCTTTTTCCCTCTAATTTCAAAGAAAATAAAATTTATGTCATCTCCATAACAATTTGTGTTTAACATTTTCAGAAAGTGCTTTTAATTTGTCAAATTACAAAAATGAAAACTACTACCAATTAATTTGGTAAGATGAATTTTCTATATGGTAATCATATCCTTAAAAAAATTGAAAAATACTTATTTCATTCTTCTTCTTTTGAAAGTTACGCACATTTGGCATTCACCTTCAAAAAGTGTGGCCAAACAAGCTATAAGCAACCTTAGCTAGTCAAGTTACGAGATATTCATATTGGTAAGAGATAACAAATCACTATTAAAATAATCAATGCTCACGAAAACTGATTCGAACACCACGACTTATTAAAAAGATAGACAAAAAAAAGTTTACTGACATTTCCTTCAAATTTTTATATGCTTTTCTGTCTTGGCATCATCTCTCACTTTAAAGTACCTCTGCTCTTCCCTCTCACATTTGCTCTACTCCCCATAAGCATCTTCACACAAACACACACAAAAACTCAGAAAACAGTGCAAAGACTCCTGTCTTTTACTCACATTAAATGGACACAAAAACTCCTCCACCTTCATCTAAAATCAAGAATTCAAATGAAGAAGAAGAAGAAGAAGATTACATAGATATGGAAGTTACTTCTTCTTCTTCTTGTTCTTCACCACAAATAAGCAGAGAATTTGAGTTCCAAATGGCTTCTATTTCCATAAATGACAAAGAGGCAGCAACAACAACATTAACTTCACCAGCTGATGAGCTTTTCTATAGAGGCAAACTCCTACCTCTTCACCTTCCTCCAAGGTTAGAAATGGTTCAAAAACTTTTTAAAAACTCAAAGATTGAATCTTTTCAACAACAAGAAGAAGATGATGAAACATTTAGCATTAGTACTAGAACCCCTTTTGATTCTTGCAACATTTCCTCATCACAAATGGTTGAAAAACTTCTTCAAACTTCAAAGATTCAATCTTTTCAAGAAAAAGAAGAAGAAAGATTTAGCATTAGTACCAAGAACTTGATGAATTCTAGGACCCCTTTTGATTCTTGCAACATAACCCCATCACAAATGGTTCAGAGACTTCTTCAAACATCAAAGATTCAATCTTTTCAAGAAGAAGAGAGATTTAACATTAGTACCAAAAACTTGATTAGTACTAATACTAGCACCCCATTTGAGTCTTGCAACATTTCCCCATCAGAGTCTTGTAGAGTGAGTTGTGAACTCAATCCAGATGAGTATTTCTTTGAATGGTCCACTGAATTCAGCACTTTTTTCAAAGACAATCATCCAAAGATGAAATCTTGGTCCAAAAAGCTTAAGTTAGTGAAACAATCTTTAATAAGCCAAAAGCTAAAGTTTTCAACATCAAAAGCATATCTCAATCTCAAGTCTTTATTCAACAAGTCTACTTGTTCACTAGATCATCAACAACAAGTTCCTAAAGAATGTTCAAATAAGTACATAAAGGTATGTAAAAGAACCCCTTTTGGTCATATTGGAAAATGTACACATTCACCAACATTAGCAAGTATGATAAGAGACAATGAAGGAGAAGGAGTTCATGAAGATAATGTCAATAGTACTCATAGAAGGTCATTTTCAGCAGCAATCAAGAAACATTCACCAACAAAATGTTTATCATCTTCTTCATCTAATGGTTCAACTTCTTCATCATCATCATCATCATCTTTTTCATTGAACTCTAATGGATTTTATGAGTTGAATTTTCTTAAGAGAAGTAGTAGTGTGACTACAGAGATTGAAGGGTCAATTGAAGCAGCAATTGCTCATTGTAAGAAGTCACAAGAGCTTTGTAATCCAAAAAGGAAATTGATTGAAGCTGAAGGGGTTCATTCAATGTCTATTTCCAAGATTAAAGCCACTGAGATTCAAGAAAGATCAGATCTTTGCAGATTTTGAATAAAGTTTTTTTTTTATTCTAGTACTGTCACAGGACAATACAAAAGTCCCCAAAAAAAAACAGATTTAGTTTCTTGTTTGAATTTGCAGATTATATGTAATTAATTCATTGTTTTAGTGTGTATAATTCCATGAGTTAATGTAATTTTTACTTCCCTTGCTCTCCCTAACTCTGAATTATGTTTTTTTTTGTTTTTTCACCCAATATCTGGAGCTCACATTGGAGCTTCAACTAAATTCGAATTGTGCACTGTAAAACCCATTCGAGAGTGGTGCTCCTAGAAAGATTTTCTCCAAACCCAGGGCTCGAACTCGAGATTTTTGATTAAGGGTGAAATAGTCTCATCACTGCACCACAACCCAAGTTGGTTGAATTGTGTTACAAAACACAATTTTATTTTTTAAATTGTGCCTTATAAAGTGTGGTTATTTTTATTAAATTTTGTTGTTAGTTGTTCATTAACATCCATGCTTTAAGGCTTAGTGAGATTTATTGCTTGTTTGGACATGCAAAATTTGTGCTTCTTTTTAATTTTTCTTTTTCAAATAATTGTTTGGTTATATATAATAGTCAATATTTACTCCAACTTGAAACATGAGCGGAGCTAGGCTATCGCAAGGGGTTCATTGAGATCTTTCTCATTGAAAACTTACGTTGTATAATGTATATACAGTAGATAGAAAAATTGCGTTGTATAGTTTTATACAGTAGATATTAAATTTTCTGGCCTTCTTCGTATGTTTGCTTTTTTATATTTTGAATTTCTTTACTGAAAATCCCGACTTTATCACTGGTTTGAAGAAAACTAATTTCTAACCACTTTTTAAAGTAAACAAACGTTTTTCCTCACAAAATGTCTTAACATTTTTCTTAAAAGCAAAATGCATGTACAAACATAACTTCAATTTTCGAACTTGAGTTCAAATATCATCAAATTCATGTTCAAATGCCTACTTAGACATGAAAAAAGAGAGGGGTAAATAGACCTTTTTGCACTCACTTAGATGGTGGAAACCTTTATAAGAAGTGATAAACTTTGTACTAAAGAAAAAAAAGAGTACTATAGAAACAACTTTTTTTAAGACATTGGCTTTTTAACAAGAGCCTTTTTCCACAACTAGATTCTGCTTCACTTTTTCTCACTTGGTTTATTAATCATTCAAGTGCTATGGACTCTGCCAATAGTAAATGTACTATTCTACAATTATTTTATTTTAGTAGTATACAAGTGAGGAATCTCTCAACTTTTACTAAAGAAAAAAGTGAAAAGCTGTTATTTTTCTTTTTACAAAATATAAAAAAGTTTTGGTCAGAGTATTATCAAAAAGTATTTAGGTTCTTTACATTTGAAAATGACTTGAGTATAAATGAAATGTATTAAAAGGTTATAAAACTAAGAGACCATTGAAAGTGGTGTTTTACTATGAATCTAATCTAACTTATATATATAGTAATATACAAATATAAATAATTTTTACATTGTCCTTGTTTGGATTGTTGTTACCTTTTTTTTTTTTTTTAAATAATAACTCTACCCCTATTTTTCTTTATAATATTATAAGTTGTATGATATTATATAATGATAAAAATAATACAATTTATTTAAATATCATATTTATTAAGACAATACAATATACTACGTACGTAGTCAAAATATAAAGAATCATATATTTTCGGTGTCAAGAGGATTCAGTATAATACATACATACATGAAATTCCCTTCGATTAAAGTAGCTCTAAACTTAATATTAATATATTTTAGCATGTTGTAACACGCGAAATATCTAATTTTTCTAGTTACTAGTTTCACTGCTTATGAAAATGAATGCTTACCTTGCACTTATCTTTTAGCCGGTTTGATATTTTAAAATTTTATTTACATTATCAATGTATAAAACTTGTAAAAATAATATAATATATTTTAAAAAGGTGGGGTGGAGGGGACCACTTGATAATGACATACATAATCCAAAGATCTTTCATGATATCATGCTCAAGTCTCCACTGACTTGACTATCTGAGAGACTATTAATAGGTAAGATTGGTTGTCTTGCAACCCTATTGAAATATGCACATTTTAAGATAATCATCATTACTAAGTCCCCCACACCCCTAACCTAACAATCTTATGTTATATGACCTAGACTAGACAATCACCTTTGGGTGTCATTATTTCCAATGAGAGCATGACAAACAAAACATTAACTTAAGAAAGTTTATTTTAATATTTGAATGGTTACATGACCTAATAACAATAATAATAATAGTTATTATTAGTATAAAGTACACTCCAACAATTCAGGTGTTAATTATATCATATCCTGAAAGTTTTCTAAATTATATCTCAAAATTTTTAGATTTTGCGGATACATTGCTTATCCGCCCAATACATAACAAAGGATACATAAATTATGTATCAGATATATAAGTTACGTATCAGATACATAACTATAAACCAAATTCATACTTATTTATGTTTGAAATAACAACATTTGTATCAGATACATTCTACCAGGGGTGACTCAACAGATCTCGTGGCCTAAGGCAAAATCATATTAAGAGGCCCTTAAATTTATTTTATAAAATCTATACACTAACAAGAAAAAATATTTTCTACACAATAGATTAATCATTTAAGACAAAAAATATCGAATTTCACACAAAAACAAAAAAGAAAGGAAGATGAGAACGAAAAATAAAAGTGATGGATCATCGATGTTAAGCTTCAAAACTCAAATTGAAATTTTAATTTGGCTATCATCACAAATAAGAAAAAGAAAAGAACATACATAACTTAATAGTTGAAGTTTTGATCATGGATAGTAACAAAAATATCCAAATTTCTAATCAATTTAAATGAATGATATAATTCATTCCAATTTTTTTTGGTTTCCCACCCGGTGTTCGGAGATCACATTGGAGCTCCGACTAAATTCGGATCGCGCACTGCAGGCCTATTCGGGTGTGGCGCTCACAACAAAATTTTCTCCATACCCAGGGCTCGAACCCGAGACCTCTGATTAAGGGTGAAGCACTCTCACCAGTGTACCACAACCCATGTTAGTATAATTCATTCCATTAAGTAGCACTCATTGGTGAATATCTAAAACAAATTATAAAATTTTCATATAATATATTGAATAAAACGAAAAGGAAACTTGTTCATAAATATTTTTGTGTTCACGCAGTTTAAGAAAATATTGAAAAAAATTCATTATGTTATCGATATATATAACTTAGTTCCTATATAAAAAGGGTAAATTTTAAAATTGGAAGTTAAAACAAATATATCAAATAATGAGTGAAAAGAGTATGAGAATTTATGAACTTATTGGTAAAAAATACTCTCAAACAAATAATAATAAAATATATACAATAACAATTTTATTTATATAAATTATATTTATATATAATAAAATTAATAATAATAATTTAAACAAATTTGGGGCCTTCAAATTTTTGAGGCCTAAGGCAATGGCCTCACTGGCCAAGCCTTAGAGCCGCCCCTGCATTCTACACAAACAAAGTTGTAATGTATCTTATAAAATGGAGTGATATATCTAGATGTTAAGACAGGGAAAGAGAAAGGGGGGATTTTTATAATTAATTCAAATAGTAGAGATTTTTAGAGATTATTAATTACGAATTTTCCCTTATTAATATGCTTCAGTTTCAAGTAAATTTGAATAAGTTATATAACATAATCTCTCTAAAACTACATAATTACACGACTTAAGCTCATTCTCAATTAAATTGAGAATAGTTACAGAACCAACTACTACGACAGTAATTATTATGCATCAGTCTCAATTAAATTTAGATAAATCATATAAATTGCTATCATTGTTGTAACTTCATATTTAAGCTCATTTCAATTTGTGAGGACGGCTCATCTCGATGTAATAGTGGAGCCAAAATCTTCATTAAGTGACTTCAAAATATAATGAGATTTAATATCTACTATATAAATATAAAAATAATTCTGAAAGTATATAGATGGCATAATTTTCTAACGAAGGGTTGGATGAACTCCCTGACAATCCTTAGTTCTACTCCTACTTATTATAAATTGACTAGACCTTGATACTTATCCGAATTTGAAGCCGATAATGTAATCAAACGAAATTATTAGAAAATCCAACCTAAACATTAGAAAGAAAAAGTACGAGAAACAAAAGATTGAAAGGTATTGATCAAATGTCTAGGAGATGTCCTCATTAACCTATTGAAAGAACCTCATATGAACTTTCATGCACAAACAAATTTAAATTCACATTACATGTGCTATGTTCCATTGTTTTGACATTGACAAATCAATACTTTAGTAAAGCTTGGATTATTCCATGAATTACAAAAAAGGTCTAGGAAAAACAAGTATATCATAGAGAAATTCCTAGAGTAATACTAGGACTACTAATATGAAAGACTAAGCGAGATAGATTTGAACTACCTAACTAACCCTGTATATTCAAGATTAAACTCATATTTTCTGCATGTATAGTAGATATTTAATCCCTTTAGCTTCTTCATATTTAAACTCCTTCATTAAAAATTATGTCTCCGCCACGACTTATATGAACTATATGACCACTATTCCTAAAGAAAATGTGATGTAAAAGAACATAAGAAGCCAAATAGGAACAATCAAATCAATTGGTAAAACAATGTCTACATTCATATTATATAGGTCATTCTCAAGATAGAAAAAGTGAACAATAAGAATCAATTGGACCCTTCATTTTGTGGTTTATTATTAATGTTCATTCTCTTATTCAAAAGTTTTTTTAAAATTCTTTAACAATAGATGTGCATGTACTTCTGAACTGGAAAAAATATGATATCTGCAGCAACAACAGTACCATTTCCGTAGTGGAGTGTGTGGTGTAATGTCTAGATTTTAGGAGATAATATAAAGCAACAAATATTTTCTTGAAGATAATATATCTGCACCAACATTATCCAAACACACTAAATATTCATGATCTTGTAGTAATTCATTATAACATGGACAAATATTGTGATATATAATTTAATTATTAAGTATATACTATACAGTTGAATAAAATTTACTTTTACAACAAAGAACCTTTAAACACTTATACCAGAATATCCTACTTCTGACTCTCCATCTCAAATTTTGTTAGAATTATTTTTTTCACTAATTGGAGCGATCAAGGGCTGAATCTTAGTGGATTACAGTAGTAAGTTCAACCTGTCACTTTACAATACCCCATCATATATTTAAACTAATCGAAGCGGCTAGAACTAAATCTCAGTAGATCGTGACAACAATTTTTTTTTGCACTTCTTTTGGTATTAATTTCTAAAATATAACAACTCATAAATACACCATGTGATATATAACCAACTAGGGTGGTGGTGGGATGCATAAGATCCATCCACCCTTAATCAGAGATACCTCTCAAGTTTGAGCCATAGGGTGTGAAACTAAATCTTGTTGAGGAGCGCTTCGCCCTTAAATGTTTACAATGTGTGGATCCAAATTAATTCAAATTTTATATATATATATATTATATAAACAAATCCATATCCAACTTTAAAGGATGATATAACTAGCTAGATTGCTCTCAAAGTAAAAAAGTTATCAATCTTGGAAACTAGAAGAAGTTTGGTGTAGAAAAATGTCAATCACAAATTTTATGTCATATCAATGTTTCATCTCATGATCCTAAACCCCAAACAATGCAAACCAAAACTGGAGACAAAGGGAAAAGAAGTTAGTAAATGAGACAACATATAAAGATTGGTTGTGATTGTAGACCATGTGGCAATAACTTTTGGAATTTGTCTTGGAGTTTTTGGCTCTTTTAGTTTATCTCATTTCAATTTCTTCTGTCCACCAAAAATCAAATTTTCAAAAAATAAAGGACAGAAAATGTGCTTGAATGCATTTGAGGAAGGCTTGAATTTGTTTTTTTGGATGACCAAGAAATCCGTCTGGGGCTAGCCTTTTAGGACCAACTACAACTCTCAAAACTCGGAGATACTGGGGCATGCACCCCTCTACCATTCTCCACTTAAATACTAGGCATAGTTCTTATGGCACTGGACTTGAATTCACAAGTCCATCAACCTTAGCCGCTTGAACCAAGTCCATTCATGTGGCTAACAACTCAAATTGAATTACAAAATAGGGGGTAACAGAACATTTGTTTACCCTTTTTTCGAACAAATGGTAATAATATTAACCATCAAAATGAATAGCAATTGTTTTTCCTATAAGAAGCTCATCACACTAGCTAGATTGTATGCAAAGTATGAAGCAATAACAGTTTTAGTATGCCATTAATAGATAGGTATCCGCAACTGTGCCACATGTATTATGATTCTTTTGAAGAAATACGGACTTTCTAAAAAAAAAAAAATGTCAGACAGGAGCATGTCACGAGATATGCACAGTAACTCCCAAGGATTCGGTCATTTAACAATTCAAGTGGTACATGAGTTGAGTTTAGAAAAGTTCGGTTTCTACCTATCTCTGTCATGCTCTAATGCTCTCCTTCCCTTTAGAACTATAAAGGGCAGTAGTAGCTTCCTTTTTCCTTTATCTACACTTTGGCTGAGCACAGATCTCAAGGAACTCTGTCCATTTGATCTAAGTCCTGATCTTCTTCTGAATTACCTATACTATTCAAAACTACGCCTAAATATAGAGCTGCTAATACACAAGTCCGAGGGGTAGGGACGTGGGTGTACAAATGGTGTATCTCATTAGGCCTACACCTAAAAAGATGAAAACATTGCACACTGGAGCAGAGAGAATGTTTTTTGAACACTAAAGGTTATGCCAGTTGCTGTCAAAACTTTGATTCTCATGCCAGATATGGCACATGATTAATGATGCAACAAGTTCTAAGAGATTTCACTTTAAACACTATTGAGTCTACAACTTTTAAGATACTCAAACCAATGATAACAACATGACTAGGATTTAAACTTTTACCCTCCGTCCATTCCGGTTTATGTGACAAACTTTCAACACACTTCTAAATTTTGGAAACAATTAGCTTTATAATTGTGCAAATGTTATGGTGGCATGTTTAAAGCCACAACTTTCAAAAGGTTTATTTGAGACCACACAAATGCTATGCCATATATATTTGAGACCACAAGTTTCAAAAGTCTTGTCTTTATTTCTTTCTCAACTCCATACAGATTTAAACTATCATATGAAAGCACATTCATTGTTGTTCCTGTAACATAAATAAAAGAATTAACGAACACAACACTTCTAGTGCTATTTCCGTGAAAGAGGTTGCTGGTATGGTTGTTGCCACCGAAAGCAAGTAGACCATGTGCAGAGTCACAATAACAACAACATACCCAATGTGAGGATAGTGCATACACAGCCTTGTTTCCAATAGACACTCGGCTCAAGTAAAACATAATAAAATCACGTATGGAAAGGAAAACACTAATGCAAAAGAGAACGGTAACAACAACACTTGAGTTAAAAAGCAAATAGACCATGTGCAGATTCATGTAAGAAATTAACAAAAAATTAACATTACAGGTATCAACACACAACAAACGAAAAATTGGAGGCGCCAATAATGGGGTTACAAGTAATGATAAAAATGCACAATAATAAAGAAACATGGACAAGAAACTCGGAACTGATTTATTCTCTATTTCTTTCTCCAATGACCTCTATATTGAGTGTACACAAAGAATTACAACCATCCAATGTCATAAAAAATAAGTACTGTCATTTATTCACTAAATATTCCAAAATTTCAAAACTGAAACCCCATTCCTCAGGGTTAGTACAGGACATAAAATCTATGACAACAAAATTCATTGTATAACCACAGTATACCAACTATATATCCTTTCAATTTTCTAACTTCCGTCAATAGTATAATCATAATTGAAATTTAACTAAACTCCATTTCGGGAAAATAATCAATTAGAAGTTTTACCATACTCTATAATTGGCTGAGCCTTACGCCCTCGCAATAGCTGGAGGCGCTGCATCATCACCCTCTTCCTCATTCCGTTCCATCTGACTAAGCAACTGCTTATTCTTCTCAAGTGCAGCTGCAACTTCAGGAGGCATATACTTCTCATCGTGTTTAGCCAACACTTCAGTAGCTCCAAAATAACAATTCCCACTTCTCGCCTTCTCAGTTACCTGTAACTTTTTCTCACTCAAGATTTCATTCTCTTTCTTCTTCATCTCCTCGGTAAATGGCTTTATAAACCCTTCTACTACAACGGAATGCCCTTCCCGAAAAAGATCTGGTAACGACCCGTCATACTTAACCAAAATATCAGTAATCAAATCAGTTATCACAAATTCCATTTCTGGGGAATTGGGTATTGGTGTTACACTATTTTCTAGTACTAATCCACCAAGTCGAAATTTGGATCTTGTAGGGTTTTCAGCATGTTTTGCTAGAGCATCTGATGGGGTTAAATAGAATACAAGTTGGTCTTGGAATTGGTTAAGGACTATTACTATGAATCCTGCTATGCAGCTGAAGGTAATGGCATAGGTCCACAGACGGCGGGTTTGGAGTTGCCGAGCTTTGGCTGCGATATCAGGCCGAGCTGAACGGTGGGATCGTGCGGGCCGGGAGAGTGTGGAGAAGGATCTGAGGGTGAAAACAGTTTGGTTGGTATTGAAATGGGGAAATACTAAGGGCTGTGACTGGTGGCGGAAAACTGAAATCAAAGGGTGAGATTTGGGGAGAGTGGCGGTGGTAGTGGAAGCGGTGCCAATGATGGCAGAACGAAGGAAATGGGAAGCTAGACGAGAAGCTAAACGAGAAGAGAGTTTCGAAGCCATTGAGATTTTGTGGAATGTATCGGCCTGTGGATAGAGATAATAAGGAGGGAATTAAGGTTAGGGGTGGGCGTTTGGTATTTCCAATGTTCGGTTTCGGTAATTCTATAATTGGTAATTGAAAATAGATACCAACTATCAAACTTCCAAAGTTCGGTCTGGTACCAGTAATTTGGTAATACCAAATTATTGGTGTATATAAGTTGAATCAGCTAAGAAATAATATGGAGAGTTGCTAATACCATTCCTGGAAATTTCAATAAGTACAAAGCCAATCCAAGCCACTATGATGCACAACTGCAATACATGAAAAATAATAATTAGATAGGTAATTGCAACCAATTCAGTCGTGATTTATCTCTCTAAAAGTATCTTCCTACTCTCTTTTCTTTTCTAATTCTTAGCTAATTCTAGCTCTCATTCTCTACTTAAATTATCTTCAATTAACTCTCCCGTTTACGTATAGAATCAGGTATGGTGATCAAACTCAAGATGATTGCTCAGTGCAAATCGCTTGGGTCAAATTATTCTTAGCTGTTGTAAATCCAATTGAGGATATTAGCTGAATTTAGCTCCATTTTACAGCCTGTTAAGTAATTGATAAATTTTCGAATTATTGTTTGTGATCATTGAAGCTCATTACAAGATCATTTGAAACAAACAAAAACTGGAAAAGTAAAAATCTTCAAATACTTGTATAAATTTCTTCTAGAGAACCAAACAATCGGAAATATTCCAAATTAAATTAGTCATCAAAACAGGAAGAATTAGAGATCTCAAACAGATTAAAAATGGTGATTTTTCCCTAAATTCTCTATTTGCCCTCTTTAGTCTTTTAGTTTTGATATATATTGGCTTGTACTGATGGGCCTATGTCACATTATGGGTGATAGCCATTATTCAATAAAGTAATGTAGTATCGAATATCAAATGGTACTAATGTCTCGTAGAGATATTATCAAATTTATGAAATTTTACTTTCCAATACCATACTGAAATTCCCTATGCGGCTTGGTAATTTAGTTTTCGGTGATAGTATTTGTTATGACCCGATTTTGAAAACTAAATTTCTGAAATCATTTCGCAACTTTGGCAATTTATTAATTTTGGAAAAAATAACAATTTTAGAAGTCGCCACTTAATTTTTCTTAATTGAATCATTTAAAAGAGGGTTTTGAAAGAAAACATATTAAATAAAACCAGAGTCGGGTAAGGGTTCAAATAATTCTCTAAGGAAGGGTTTAGGCATCTTAGAGAATTCGTTAACACATGGTTGCCCGACGGATTTAAAGTTGGCTAATTTTATAAAAAGGTTAATTATAAAAATCTTGTTTGAAACTAACAAAAGTTTTTGATACTTGTACACTCATCTTATTCCAACTAATGAAATAAGTCAAATGATAAAGTGCCAAAAACAAAAAATTTAACTTAACATTTACAGAATGGGAAAGGAGCTAACCAAAGAAGATTAATGAAAATAATTTCCAAAGAAGAGTAGGTAGAGCAGTGATAACACAATTTTAATGAAATAAAGTGCACCCAAAACAACAAGATAGAATCAGAAAGCTACTGAATTACCAAGAAACATTAGATAAGGAGAAACAATACAGTAATCTGGACACCATGCTTAAAGCCGAATTCATATCATATAAAGGTCACTGCTAGGAAGAACTTACATAATAGAGTTCAAATATGCAAACTTAATATTAAACCAAACACGAGGCAAGAACAGGTTAACAAACTTCATGCGAGAACTAATTTGAAGAGTATAAAAGAGACAACAAATCTTACTTAATGCACACAAACAACCGGGGAAAAGAAATTAACCACATGTCTAGCTTGAGCAAAATAATCAAACTAATTTAAAGATAAGAAATATGTCGAACCATGACCAATACGAGAGAGAGCTAACAGATAATCCTAACACATAAACACTCAAGATTATTCAACAATCACTATTTGGACAGAATTATCTTAAATTTATACGACCAACAAGACTTTACTTTAAAACAACAAATCAGTAGATGCCTCAACTTAGTGCTTGTAAAACATTGAAGAAATCGGCCTTTGACAGAAAACAGAGGCAATAGTCTCAATACAAAAGACGACTTCTAAGGCAAAAAACAACAGCTTAACATTAATATGAATTCTTAAGTATAACTACAAAACATATTTCAGAAGGTTACAACTTACACACCTAAACCAGATGACTATATGACTCGGCTATATCTATTTTAATCAGAAGTAACAAGCAGGTCCATAAACTAGCGAAAGAAAGGAAAATAGTTTCAACTTGAGCTAGGTTAACTTTAACCACAAGAGCGACAATCAACTATGCCAAAACTGAAATTTGAACAAAGCATCCCATGATAATAAAGAAGAGCTAGACGGAGTAACAGTAATTTGGTTGATTCAAACTATACAAGATTTAGCTGAAAACACATTTTAGGAGCAACGAAGCTCAACCTAACATTTTAGTCCAAACAAACTCGAAGTGACAGAATACATTATCTCTAATAATATGCATCTAAAGAAGGCAATGATGAGAAATCAGCAACTATATAACATGGATTTTCAAAGTCTAGAAGCACATATATAGATTTATGAACTCGACTAAGTAAAGGAATCACATTCACATCTCTGAATTATAAGAAAACAGCCATCAATAGAGCAAAATATTTAATAAACTCATTCAAATCTGACTTAACCAAGAGAACAGGATAGTGAAAACTTTTACTGTCATTCACATAAACATCACACTTATTTTAACTAATCACATTGAATCTAAAAAAAAAAAAAAAATACTAAAACAAATAACAATTCCACAATGCAACAGAAAGAAAAGACCGAAGAAAGAGCAAGAAGATTACCTGATTCTGGGCAGCGAACCGGACAACGAGTTTGACGGAGACGATTTCCACCTCTTCAACTCGAACAACCACAAAACTATTCAACTGAGAATTCCTAAACCTTTTAGGGGTACTCTCAGCTCTCAAAAGCCTCTCCCCATGAACAGTAAGAAGGAGGATATTTATAGGGGTTGAGAAATCTGAAAATCACAGCCTAGAATCGATGTGAGACTATGAGCTCGGTCGTCTGGTTTAGCGTTGATGGAGTCGAGCGTACTGTTGAGAGAATCAAAGAGAGAGAAGAGTATAGGGGTTATTTGGGCCGGGTCAGGTAATTTTGGGCCAGAAAATTGAATCTTTTTGGCCCAAATTAGTCGTTTAAGTAAGTGGACCAGCTCCTTTTAAGTGATTTTCATCAATTCGGACTTGATTGATTCAAAGCTAAATCCGAACTTGATAAAATGGGAAGGATCAATAAATTATACTTATTAAGCTTCTTAACTTCAACAATACCAAAATAATTATTTCGAAATGAAAAATCATTTATACTAGACTAACGAGTTAATCTATTTTAAAAGAAAAATGCCTACTAAATTGGGACATGATTTCAAGTAAAATGATTTCCAAATGAAAATTATATAAATCAATATATTTACAGTATATAGACATATATCTTATAGGGGAAAATGGCAAAATTGCTTTTGAAAATGATTTTCAACTTATTTATAATTTTCGAAAATAATTATTTTAAATTGTTTAAAATTTAAGAAGCTTGAAAATTAATTTAATAGTGGAGGGTCAAAATTGGGTGTCAACAGTATTCACACCTAATTTCAGTTTGGTAGTATTAAATACGAATGGTACTAATATTTTGAACTGACTAATGAAACTGCTTAACGTATTTATGAAATTTTATTCCCAAATATCGAAATACCAAAATATTATGTTTGGCTTGGTAATTTTATTTCCAGTGATTTATGCCCAGCCCTTATTTCACATACTACACTATTTTTCACTTGGACTAGAAGTAAAATGCTCATAATTCTAAGAAGCGGTTTAGTCCCTCCGTTCCAGTTTATGTGACATAGTTTCTTTTTTCGTACGTTTAATAAAGAAAGAAAACCTTTTGAATTTGGAAACGGTCAATTTTTTAACTGCACGCATGTTATGACATGTTTAAGGTCAAAAGTTTCATAAGTCAAACTATAAGCTTCAAATGTATTCATTTCTTTCTTAAATTCTGTGGCATTCAAGCATATACTCTAATTTTCCTTTTTAGTTGTCCTTTTTTACTTGTCAATTTTGACAAATCAAGAAAGGACAATTTTTTTTACTTATTATACCCTCAATTAATTAATTTTGAAAAAGGTAGAACTTCTTGAAAATCTTAAATTTTTAAATCATCCACTTCATAATTAATAGGGATAAAATGGTAACTCACTATATCAATTATTGTTTTCTTAATAGATGTGTCAATCCAAAAATGGACAAGTAATTAGGGACAGAGGGAGTATAATAGAGTTATAAAGTTGAAAAAAAACCAATTATCTGTACACATCAGAAAGGTGCTAAAATTTTCAGTAGAGCATAAAAATTTACATATCACATCCCTTGAAAAGAGGTGTGGCTCTTCCCCGGATCATGCTAACGCAGGATATTTTGTGCACCAGATTGTTACACTTCAATTATCTTGCTCATATACTACACAAAAACTAGAGCTATTGCACTGAATCTTGAAGTGCAAAGATCAAATTTTTACTACACAAGAATGTACATTGGCTAACAACTAGAACTATATAGCATATAGTTTCTTATACTGATCTTCAGGGATCTCTGATTCTGACATGATTGATACGGACCGAGACAACGTCTTGCTACTCCGAGCTGATTTCCTCTGACTTCTCAAATTCGAAGACTCAATCCGATGCATAACTACCCAGTAACATAGTGTCCCTAGTGTCGCAACCATGATAAAAGTTCCCATAAAAGTTACTGCACTTGCCATCCATCTTTCATCTTTACCTATAACGATATATGACAGTGCAAGAAATGCTACAGAGACAAATACACAAGCCAACCACATTAGCTTGTTGATAATCGCCATCATTTGCTTTTTGGCTCGTCTTTCAACAACCACGATTGATGTTTGAACAACCACAACAGCTAATGATATAAAGAGTGCAAGAGAGTCGAATATGAAGAAAATGACAAAAGGGGGTTGAGGAGCAATCCTTCCTTCTCCTATTGAGTATCCCGGAGGAACCTCCTTAGGATTGTCGGTATATTGGCCTGGTAGATTAAATATGGCAGCAAAAGTAACAGTGGCAATAAGAACAGCAACAACTGTGGTGGAGTTTATGGCGTTGTTGATACCTTCTGTGTGCATTTTGTTCAGACGTTTTGCTATGTTCTTCACTCTTTTCTGAGTTTGGAAAGTGTGCTCT